ATTATTCAGGGTTCCCAATTGAATGCAGAAACAAACTCAACCAACCCAACCCAACCTAACCCAATGAAACCCATCTAAACCAATCAAAAAGCATGTATTTTGCTATTTCACATACACACATATATACATACCGGTCTATATGTAGGAACTCATGAATATCAATTGATTAGCCGTCTTTGGGTACTCCACCCACTTTTTGTCGTTTTGACTTTAGTGGCAATGGAAAGCAGTTTGTCCTTTGCAGAAACCACAACTTTCCAGAGTTCTTGTAGCCAATTTGGCTCTTTGATAAATACCAGGCTACATATACCTGTATTTGCAAGGACGCACTGGGTCTGTTTATAATCCTTTCATTAACATTTGACATTTAGTTTACATGAAAGTGGGGAACTCTAACTCTTATTCGTGGTTGGCTTCAGTAATGTTCTCACGTGTACACTGCATGCATGGATTGGCGTGAGTACACACCATGGGTGAACCGTTGTACATGGTATTTTTGCTTGCAGTTTGTGCACATGTACAGTAACTTTTTCACGCTGTACAGCAATTAGAGCGATGCAAAGCACGTCATACATGCACATAGTGCAGTTCACTTGTCTATCTGGGTTATTTTTGCAGACTAGCTCATTCCTTTGGTGTTGCCATTACATGTATTTATACTGGATAATTTTTACGTCACATTAAGCCTGGTTTCCACATGGTTGTTTGTAATGCAGATGGTCCGCAAGAATTCAAGGTGCAGACAGTCACGGAAGAGATGTGGCGCAATGTCATTCCACCCAAAATATCAAACAAAATGGTTCCAGAAACTCTGAAAAGTTTTGCCAAAAAATGCCTTTTTTAGGTGGCAATGTTTGTTCTTGAAACCAAACTGATACTCCAGTTTGATATAATTTGTCAATGGTCAGCTATTTTGTTGACAATTGGGGCTGCATGTGGTAGTAATAAGCAGAAAATGGACAAAATGAGTAGGACTAAGTAAGAGAAACGTTGCAGAGATGCCAACTTTTCAAAATGAAAAAGTGTAATCCTTTCGAACTTCCAGTTCCCGTTTCCTGACTGACCCTTATTTTTTGGCGCAACCCTAAAAATTTTCATTGGCGAATTAGAAAAATAATTTTAAAAAAGTAAAAAAAATCCTGTTGTCTTTTCTTTCAAAACAAATGTCTATCAACAACTTCTTTTCATGTCAAAAACGCTTGTCTTTCCTGACTAGCACTGTGCAAGTGTGAATTGTAATTAATTGTTGATTATATTTTTAGTTTTAATCACTTTTGTGGCAAGTTTTGGCAACTTTCGTCCCATTCAAGAGCACAAAAATCGTCAAAACATGCTTACCTATCAACCCTCTTTATTCGGAAGCAGAGCTATTTTTCTTGGCCTAACTAATGTGCTTCTCGGTGTTGTAAGATCCAGCATGGGCATCATTTATCATGTCAGAGTTACATGCATTGCAAAACACATAAGCTTCTCAACGACAAGACTTTGCAACAAAGGCCCATTTTTGCGGTGCATTTGCCCCTGAACTTCTGCTCACTTGTTGCCACTGAGCGGAACAAGTCTAATTGCTCACAAAATATCCAAGAATCAAATCCTCAACAGTACTCCACTCCGGTCAACTTTAGTACGATCATGATACTCGACACACGTGTGTACGTCAGTAAATGTACAATGCATGGATGTACACAATCATGTTACATTTGAAGTGTAATCACGCCTATTCGCCCCCTGTTCATCATAGCATAAATTGGGGCGAACGATGATTCAACCCCGCTGGTTTCTACCGCTCCTCACACAGCTTGTATGTACAAAAAGTGGGATGCCAGCGACACATTTCTGACGCGTGCATTACGCGACCAGCTCTGTGCTAGCTTACGTAGAGTTTACACACAACAATACGGTTTTGTACCTTTGAGTTGGAAATCGTAAAAATCTTAGTCTGGATCGTACAGTCATAAACGGACTTAACAAATCCTAAAAATTACGCCTAAATCGTACAAGTTGGTATCTCTGACATTGTTGTACGCCTGTCATGCCAGTGTGTTTGTATAGGCCTGATCAGTGACTCACCGGGCTCAACTTTGCCGATCCACCTGGGGCTGGTTTGCATTATTGGCAATACTTCCTTTTGACATGTTTCCATGAGTCTACATTGCAGTTTGCATCTTGATTGCATTGGTCTCTACGTTTCTTACCTCGATATGGAAACCAGGCTTTTAAGAACAAAGTCACGTTACATGTACGGTGTAGCACAGCCAGTAGCTTGCCTTTGGCTGCCAGGGAGGTGCTGGGTGAGTTTGACATAGGTTCACATCTCACTGCCCAATAAGACTATCTTTATAATTTATCATTTGGACCATGCATTAATTCTAGGTTATTACTTTGTAAAACACACAGCTGGGATTTTGTTTTGGTTGGGATTTTCTTCCCACTTCTCCCGGCTGGAAATCAATAAAGCTGACCGAGCATCAATTACAGGTGTGATGTTGGTTAGCCTTGCTTACCAGAGGGTAACACCTCAACCCATGTGAGCTCAGTGCCCACGGACCCCGGTCTGGCGCACACACGTCGCTTCACTTCATATACATACCTTGGTGGTAACGTCGGTTGAAGTTTGATTTCCTGGCATCTCAGTTTCTCCAGATCAACAACATGCACAGAGGTGAAAGGTCGCAGGTTAGGACCCAGACCGCCAGCGATGATCATCCTGGTATTCTGCCATGCACAGGCGGAATGCGAGTGGGAAGCAGGTGGTTGGTCACCAGGGAACTCCAACTGACAAAAACATGGGAAAAGAAGGGAAACATGAAAGTGACTGTCAGTGTAAGTTCTTAAAACTGAAGGCCTTTCAAAATGAAATCTTACAGTACAGGAAAAAACTGATTCAAAAACCCAAGTGATGTGAATACTGAGGGGGCGGAGACTGGGGATGACAGATGGGGGTACAGTAATTTTTTTATTCCACTGTCTGGTGACGTACCCTTTTGTAGAAACAAGACAACTTTATTAAAGTCCCTGAACTTTTACTTGAAATTCCCCAGGGACATCAGTATCATTTCATGCTGTCTTACAAAGCTGAGGATTGGTGGGGTTCTCTTTTCAGTTGTGTTAACTTCTGTTGCAGTTAGCATGGTTTTCTTTTTGGATGTGTTGAATTTTGGTGTGTTAAACAGGCACCTAGAAAAAATCTGACTGGAGGGAGGGTCTGCAGGAATTACTGGGTAGACAGAGGATGTGACATCACTCCCTACGTGTGGACCACACAATCTTTTCAAGAGTTTCGGAAAATGCTTTCTGTTATGCCAACTCACCCTTTCCCAGTCTAGTTTCCTGACATCAAATGCCCAGCAGTCACCGAGCACTGCATCGTCTGCACCCCTGCCTCCATAGACCACTACACACTCCTTGCCCCTAACAGTAGCATACACTGCTGAATGTCTCCATCTTGGCACCGGGCCATCAGAGTTTTGTGTTTCAATATACTGACAGTTGTAGCTGGTCATCTCAAATTCTGTATTTCTCCAGTCGGGAAATTTCCTTTCTGAGGTTACCTCTTCCTGGTTGCAAGCTGAATCAATTTCATCCAACGGCGATATTCCCTGAGAGCACCCGCTGAAAAGTTGGCAATCTATGGCTCTACTATCTTTCAGCCACACTTGACTTGATTCACTGTTATCGATTTCGTCGGTCCCCACACTTGAATTGCTTTGGCTGGAAACACCATTTCGTATGGTGTCTACAGCTGCTGAGGGTAATATTAAGTTTCCATCTGTGGAAAAGCTAGAAGATACGGTGGCCATTTCACTGTCGCTGTGTGCTGCAGCTGTGGCACGCTTTGTGTCCAAGGTCAAAATGAGGGTGGAATTGGACGGTCGTGATGGAGAGCTCCGTCCACCAAAGAGGAGCCACCTGTTGCCCCCGGGGATGGCAGTCAAAGTGTGATGCATTACGGGTTCTGGATTAAACCATGCAGAGAATAACGATGACATGAAATAAATTGAAGGAAATGAAGTTTAAAAAACGACCTCTAAGGGAAACATGTTTTCTCTGATTTTATCTGTTCAAATATAGATGGAAGCATCCAACTCAAGCACAGTGTAATTTTGCCTTCGGAACTCAACTATTGTCATTTGATCTGCAATGCACTAAAACGTAGGTGCAATGTCCCAGCCAATGCAGTGCAATGACTTTATAACAAACAATTCTTTATGTAGAATTTGACTGCTGAAAAGTGTTGCATTCAAGTCCATCACAAGTCCCTGCAAGTCTTTTGTAAGTGATCCAGTCTTGCCGATGGTACTTGATAGTCCAGAACAAACCTGTCCCAGGTGCTGTATTTTTTTTGGCTGAAAATATCTACTTCTTAAACTAACAGGATGTGACATCCAGAATCAACACAAAATTAGACTTTGCAAGCAAAGTTACATAGGGTGTCCAGATTAATTTCAGTGCAAACTCCACACAGCGAGTACTCGGGCTTGGATTGATGCTGCACAAGTGCGAATCCTTCCTAATAACCTCAGGGTTAAATCCTTCCCCCTTCCCGGGTGAAATAGGCTCGGTTTGCTCGAAACAAGTGTAGAATGATGCACTGGGGTTTGAATGTGGGGATTAAAACTTAAAAACTCAGCCCAGGGTGGCCCCAGGTTCACCCAGGGTTGAGTTCAACTCTGGTTGAGAAGTTATCCTGTAAAAAGACCTACTGTACATCTACCATAACTGGAAGTGACAAAACAAATGCTCTCAACTTGCCCAGTTCCTTGTCGCCATTTCTTCCCCGAGCCACTTTCCATCTTCCTGTTCTCAAGTCCACCATCACCACATCACCAAGCCTGGTGTGCCTGCTTCCTGATTCCCCGAATCCTCCAACCACCATGGCTAACTGGGGAGACAGTAAACTGCTGGCGTGACCGAAGCGTCTCAGAGGTCTAGGTGAAGTCACAGCGATGAGGCAAGTAGTAAGAGGAGATGAGTGTCCTGGGGTGCACTCGGTGGTGTAACGTTGGTGACCTGTTTTGAAAAACACAGGTGCTTTGCTAATGGGTGTTGTTTTTTGAACTTCCTGATTCAGCAAATCTCAGACACAATTTTATTCTGGCTAGTCGCCTGTTCCAGCTATGTTTCATGGGCAGAAGTCAGGGTAACATTCAAAAACTGTTGAGGACAACCCATATGACAAACTATAAAAAGCCATCTGGTTGTCACATGCCACCTCGTGAAATCAGTGGGTCACATATGTGGTTCTCAACTAAGGAAAATTCTGATACAGTGGTACAGACTAATCCGATTAGAAGCTGTAACTGCGGTGGCACCACACTCACTCGTTAGCTTGACGTGTGCATGCATTTGGCAAATCATAAAAGAGGCGTGCGATGCGCATGCACCACCTGTCTGTGAGCGTCACGCTACTGCAGTAATGGCTCCGACTTCTGCTTGTCAAATTACAGAGCAACATGTTGACATGCATCAATGACAGTATGCATGCTGGCAAATGTGATTGGTTCTTACGTGGTGAGTTTTGTTTGTTTCCTTCCGACAGGAATTCTACCAGGTGACTGCAAGTCCCACTGCACCCTGCTATGACGGCATAGTGACTGCACTTCAAATGCCATTCCTATGGAGTAAGACCAAAAACAAATACAAAGTCACCATCAGGTGCAACCTTTCTCTGTTGGCCAGGACAGATCTACTTTTTGGTTGCTGGGATACCATGAGGCGACTGGTTTAAGATCAACAGTTCCACTGGCTTTTTGAGGTCAGTGAGTCTTTACAACTCATCGCTTCACCGGTTCTTGTCATCGTGTCCCGCCGTTAGCTGGGTCACTGTAATTCGGCCTTTCAGATCATCATTCCTCAAGCCAGTGAACAAGCATTACAGTAAAACGTTTCAGCAAATTTAGATATTGAGACGATTAATGTTGCTAGTATATTTTTGGAACTGCAAGCCGCTTCACAATTTAAGTGCATTCCAAAATGTGGACAAAGTCATTTAACAAGAAAACAATCTGCTTTTTATAAAAATAAAACTGGGAGTTTCACGTAGTATGCGCATGCATTGTACTGGCAGAACATGTGTGTGGGTCAAAGCTTTCCCTACATCAAGAGATGATGTAAAATATGTACGCTTTCAGTGTTGAAAGACAATTCAGAGGAACATCAACCAATGTGAATGGCTCAAGAAAAATGGGTAATAAGTCGCTAGATTCAGGTTAGGAGTTTTTGATATGGCTGGATTCTGTACATCACAAGCTACAATTTGATGTATAAATGACCCCTGTAGTGTGCTGCATTCTGGAGATATATAGACATTTGTATATCCACATTTTTGTATTCAATAAAAGCACCTTTCGAGAAAAAGCTCATAAAGTGTAGCACTTGGAAACACAATGCTATGTAGGATTTCCTAATGAATGATCAATTTTTCATCTTCATTCATCAGTATCCATGTTTGTAGTCACAAATTCTGAAAATATAAATGTTATAGAAGCTATTAAAGGAAAAAACACAAAACCACATTTTTGAAGAAATTTTACCCTCTTCAAATAGAACAGGCCATTACTTGTTTTGGCATGGTACGACTTAATACCCTTTTTTTGCAGAATGGGTCACATATTTAACGCTTCCTACCCATAACCTGGATACTTGGGGGGAAACATTTCACACTTTCAGATCTTGCACCCAGGATACACCATGCAAGGGAAATGTGTCCTAAAATACATGAAAAAAGAGAGCCCAACTGTGCAATCATTGAACTTAATGTATTATTTGTCTACATGATGCATGACTTGGTAACAATCTGTAAACTTGAGAGCAACATTGTAACACATCTTTCAATTACCTCAAATTCATCAAAGGGTTCCAAAGATTCCACTCGCAGTCTCTCCTTCAGTGGTAACCTGGCAGAGTAGTATGTATTCATGTCTACTGCACCGGTGCCCTGCCATCCCTGTGTTGATATTAGAAGCCACTTGACATTGACACTGTGCAAGTTGCAGGTACATTTGGGTTGGAACTGCCTAAAAACTTCTATTCATCTATATAAACGATGGCACTTCATTAAATAACACTCTTTCACAAATAATGGGGAAGATATCTAGAATCTGAAATTTCTGTCCCTAAATCAAGACAAACAGTAGCCAAAGAGAGGAAAAATTCAAAGCTAAACTTGGTTTTACAAAATTTTGTCGATGCTTTACTTGTGTATAAGGCAAGTAAAAGACATGAACAGTTTATCTGGGGAAAGATTTTACACCTGAAAATGGCTAGTGTTGAAACAGGATCGATGCTGTGTACTGTTTTTAAATGTAGCACAAATAATCAGGAATCACAGGAATTCTGGCGTAACAAAAACAAATTTTCATTTCAATTGACAAATTATACATGTGTCAGTGAAGTACATGCACATGTGCTTATTTACAGGTTTTTCACATATTTTCCTACATTTTAGAACAAATGAAATAAAAATCCCCGGTATTTCCCGGTTTTTCAATAAATTATTTACTGAATGCCTGTTGTGCACAAAATCTGCCGCTTCAAAATTTAGAGTAAAAAGGATTATCACACAACAAACACAAGTTGCCACCCTCTTTAAGAGCCATGCCAAAGTAATGGCAGTCAGTATCCACCCACCAGTGAAAGGAATCGTTGCTGCTGTGCTTCTAGGGTGGGGTACCTCTGGATGGCCTTCAAGGGAGAATTCAACTTCTCAAAATGCCTCCGCCTGAAAAGTGGACATGTATTGTGCATGAGGAGGAAATATCAGGTTGCAACAAAAAAAAAAAAAACCAAACAAAACAAAAACAGAGGAAACTTGCTTATCGTAATTATGTTGCCAGAGTGCTCCCTTCAAACAGGTGAGCAGCCGTCACAAATGTACTGCAGTTAGGTTCATCAAAAGTCCTACAAGTCCATCACAAGTCATCCAGTCTCAAAGCCAAGTCTGAAGCTATTCAAATGAACAATGATAAAAGTATTTGTGCTACTGTTCCTCCTAGTTGTGACTGGACGGGTGAAAGGACTTGTGACTGGACAGGTGGAAGGACTTGTGACTGGACAGGTGAAAGGACTTGTGGCTGGACAGGTGAAAGGACTTGTGACTGGACAGGTGAAAGGACTTGCGACTGGACAGGTGAAAGGACTTGTGACTGGACAGGTGGAAGGACTTGTGACTGGACAGGTGAAAGGACTTGTGGCTGGACAGGTGAAAGGACTTGTGACTGGACAGGTGAAAGGACTTGCGACTGGACAGGTGAAAGGACTTGTGACTGGACAGGTGAAAGGACTTGTGATAGACACGACTACAGCACTGTATCCAAAAACAATGAAACAGTGTTGAATTCAGGAAGGTGTTGACGCCTTTGTAATTGTGCCGTCACAACTCATCCTAAGCTCGTACAGGTATGCTAGAAAATCACAAGTCATCCTGTTAAGTTCCAAGCCAGTTGAATTAAATATGGTAACGACATTTCCTCCATCCTTTGTCATTGGATTATACAAACATGTATATCATGTACACGTACAGATCTGGCCTTGTGCTAGACTGAATAATTGCAAAGAGGAACGTGAAACTGTGCATGTAGATTTATGGTTACAGTGGAAAAGGGCATTTCTTCTGAGACGCAAGGACCGGCAAAAGGTTGTGAAGCGGTAAACCTAAAGCCACTTATTTTTCTTCAGTATTTCCCTATTCTTATCCACTGCCTGCCGGGGCAGTTATCAATGTTGATGATGCTGAGCGGGGATATTTATCATTTTTTTCTGCTTTCAAAATTCTTTAAAAATTCTTATCTTCATTTACTGGAAACATACAAACACGTGAAGGACTGTCTGGTGGCCCCTCTAGCCTGACAGACAAAATCTATTGACGCCTGAGCATTTCAGCCAGGCCTGCAGCCTTGTAAAAAGGGTCCAGATTGTGCGGTGTTATATAACTTTCTTTTGTTTACGAACCGGGCTCAGTGCACTGCTGACCTCTTTTCAATAGGGGTCAGATTAGCGTGCAGCGGTGCTGTGTGGCTCATCACTGCGGCGGTAGAGTGCTTTTGTCCCCAGTGGTAATCCCCTCGCTCTAAATGTCCCAAACCGTGGTATACTGTTTCAAAACAAGGCTGGATTATCTCCAGTTTTGAAAGTGAAAAAATTGTCGGTAATGCCCAGCAGCCTGGTCTTTTGTTCCGAGTACGGTCTTTTGTTACAAGGCCCTGTTCCCTTTGTCCGAGTTCGGAGACCCCGGCCACGCATATAAAGCATACACGTCCAGATCCGGAATCTCCGGCAGGAAGTGGTTATTCCACATGTATTTGAAATGTTTATGGTTTCTCTGAGCATATCCAAGGCTGATTACTGATGGCCTTCATGCTGACCATGCAAGCGTTCTCATCCTTGTAAGACTTACATGACCATGCCAAAGGCGTCACTGGGGTGTATTTGCTCGTATGTCAGGAAAACAGCGTTGGAGAAAGACGAGGCGGCCCACTGGATGACAGCATCAGAGCTGTGAATGCATACAAACGACAATCGTTACAACACTTCGGGCTGGGGCCACAAGTTGACATTTATTTTTTCGACTGATTAATTGTTCTTTTCGATTTTTTAAAACTGATATAATGCAAACAGCCTGTTGTCATTGAAGTCTGTACTGTTTTATGCAGATTGCTTCCTTCATGTGGGCTAAGTGCATGAACAATGGGGACCCCAGGAAGAGCCGTTAGATTGCACCCTCCTCATAAATTGCCCACTGGAGCCAATGAAAATGTTTGCATTCCATTCAAAAGTTTAAACTCTACTGAAAATACTGAGCAGTCCCCTTGGCCCCCTTGGCGGTGAAAATGATAGTGTTTTCATGTCACATAAAATTTCAACCTGATGACAACAAACAATTTCAAAAGTTCTCCTGAACTTGCTGAAGCCTGATGTTTTTTAAATTGGCTGTTTATACGGTGTCACCCACCTAAGCACATAAACATTCTGCCAATTTCTCAGGGTCCCATGCTCATTCAGCTCATTGAATTAGACCCAAGGTCAGACAACGCCTTTTCTTGTCAACAGTCTCACAATCTGGTAACATTCCCAGCCGTCAAAGTACTTGTATTTGTAAATAATTGGCACATATTTCATAGCAATATCCCCGACATGTAGAAACAGGTAAAAAAAAAAGAAAAGCACTTTACAGAACGATTGAACGTGGACTTTTTCTTCATTTAACAAGGGTAACGCTGTATCAGTTTGAAGTTTTCTCCCTGTGGGCCGAGGCAGAAGACATTGACAAAATGCTCAGTTTTAGATCTATGGCATGCAAAAGAACAAGGAACAACGACTAAGATCAACGCTTGTAGTAAGCTTTCACAACAGCTATTTTACCAAATACAATGAACACGTTGTTTCTATGACAGCTTTTATGCTACACCGGGTACCGTAGTTGGATTTAGATTATTCCTTGGTCTGTTTTTACTGGCCATTGGCCTTATATGCAGACTTTGGAAATGCTGAAGTGTTTTGGAAGGTTACCTGTAGCAGCCCAAGGGTTGAAACGTTTTGTATTTTTGATTTCTGTATCCAACAGGCTAACACATCTTTGTGCATCTTTCTCAGAAGTTGCATCTACTGGGTATGAGGCAAAAACTGAATACCAAGAACTGCAGTGGAATTGGATCTTAACGTCGTGGAATCAGTCCTTACCTTCTGACTTCCATGTAAGTTAACACGCACTCTGAAAGCAGCAGAGTGGGTAGTTGGTAGCATTTGTGTATTGAGTGTGGGGTCACTGTGGAACTGCACAGTGCACAAGAGAACCAGAGAACTGAATACCAAGAACTGCAGTGGAATTGGATCTTAACGTCGTGGAATCAGTCCTTACCTTCTGACTTCCATGTAAGTTAACACGCACTCTGAAAGCAGCAGAGTGGGTAGTTGGTAGTCGATGCCCGTCTGTTTGAGACAGCTTTGTAGGTGAGGGAGGTCAGCAAGATCCACGCCCAGTAGATGGTAGCCGTGGGATGTCAGGAAGATTCCTTTTAGAGAAGGAAAGTGAGAATTTTTGGTGTGCAAATGTAAAGTTAAATAAACAGCAACTACGTAGTTAAAAAGTTACATGGTTGGAAAGTTGGAATTTTTATACAGTTGCATATTTAATACAAAGTGAAGTGACTAGATTGGAAAAGTGGAATAGGTTGACATCAAAAGCTTTCAACACTTTGCAGCTTTTAAAATTGTTTTATTTTTTAATCTTTTGTTCCCTAATAAAGCCAGGATTGTCTGTCATTTGCCATCATTCTCAAATTCTAAAAATGATTTTCCTTCCATGCAAATTACTGCCCGACATGCAAATAGAAAACGCTCCCTTCAGCAGGTAAATGAAGAGCCATATTGGGACCACCACAATGTTGAAAATGTCAACAGTAGATACTGTTGACATTATATGGGCACTTGACTCACAGGTGAGATTCCGAGGCTAAGACAGAAAAATAAAGGATGTCTATGAATGTCTGTGGGCCGGTGCACGAAAAAAAATATGTCCCTCTTGCCAAGCTGGTAAAAATGTTTTTAAAAAAACGAAAAAGAAAATGGCAACGAATAAAAAAAAAAAAGGTGACAAAAAGATGATAGTCACCAATTTTGTTGAAAATATGTCAGAATTGAGCCTACAGAGTTATGCAATAGTTTTGTATCACTGGGATCTATCTGCCCCGAGCTGAAGTGCACCCCCAATTGGCAAAAAGAAAGACAGGTGGTTACAAGCAGGTTCTTGCACGTTTTCTGCGTGTACGGAAAGACCACACATGCCAGAGGAAATTCGTTATAAGTACTCAGCGTGCTCCACGTCAAACATGCATGAGACTTGCCTACGCAGTGAGTACCAAAAAAAACAAACACCCCCTCTTTTATTCCACTCGGAGAGGATAGGCTTGAGTAAACCTTTTGTGTATTCATTGTAACTTAATCAAAATAACAAAAACAGCTGCTGAGACACCCTGGAGACTCCAGCAACGCATAACCTGTGTTGCACTGATGATGGTTTGTCAGTCCTCTCCCCCTGGGAACAGCTTTGCCCCCTTCCTGGTATCAAATGTGATACCATAGGATCTGAGTTTGCAGACATCTATTCACTCTTGATCCACTTCAGTGCATGCCTATTGTATTTACCTCCCTGAGTTTCCTGTGCACTGGACATTTCTTCACCGAGCTGCTGTCTGAGCTCGGTGGTGGTCTTGATAATGGTTGCCTTGCGTCGGACGACATCAGGAAAGTCAACTTCAAAAAATGTTGCATTGATGAGAAGTCCGCTGGCACGCAGCCTGAAAAAGGCCGAGTCAAAACCAGCACCTAGGGATATGATCTTAAAAAACAAGAAAAGAGCAAGTAGAAATAATAAGTGGACAATTTAAGAGGTGAGATTTGTATGCATTGACAGTCTTTAGACTATAAAACTTGTCTTTGAAGTTACAAAAAGATTGTTACATTAATTTCTTTTTAAGTTTATCACAGGCCAGGCCAACAAGGTTTTAAATATGGTTTTTTGAGTGATTTACCAAACATTTCTTTTTCAATTAAGGGTTTGATTAATCGAATAGCAGCGTTTTTGTCTGCCAATTTTCAGACAAGGTTTAAAAACAACAAAGAAGTAAGCGGTCCATCTTGTGGATTTTTTTCACTTTAATAAGTGAAAAGAAATTCATGTCATTCACTTCATCTTAAAAAAACCTTTCTTACAGTCTATGCCACATTTTTTACATGGGAGTATTTAATACCTTGAGGCAGAAGCATTTTCAACAGTGATTTCTGATAAATTAAAGAAAAAATGTGACCGAACAATTTACACATTAATCAAATAATCTAACTGAAGAAAATTCTTGTAGTATTACACTGTAATGCTTTCATCAACACACACATGTAGGCGTTATTGCTGGGAAAAAGTTTTGACACAAAGAATACAAATATAATAACAACACGTGCTTGTTATGCAAATTAACAATTCTTGGATTCTGATAAAAACAAGTGTCTACACAGGATTGCGATTGACCCAACACTCTGAGAGGAAACCACTCTGGAGGCAGCTTTTAGCACTTGTGTATTGAGTGTTGGGTCACTGTGGAACTGCACAGTGCACAAGAGATTTTTTGGTACAATTATGGGACTCAACGGTACCTGCTTCTTCCCATGATGAGCGGACAGGAACTGTTTGAAGACATCGTTGAGCACCTGCGCCCTGATGTAGTAGCCTCTGTTGATGAGTGGTGCACGGCGGGACGTCTTGGAGACAAACAATCGCAGGAAGTTGTCGTCAAAGTAACCCTGGGCTGCCGTGGAACATTTGCTGACAATGCTACTGTCATTGGTGCCTTGAACCTGGATGAGATACATGTAGGTACACAGGAATCAGGTCATCAGTATTTCACTAGGCGCAGACTCAAAATGAAGCACATTCACATGTAGGTCACTTAAGAACAGCAATACGTGTATGTGGCTACATGTATATCAAGGTGGCTGAATGCCAACTTACACAGTACGCACTGACCATATTTGAGCTGACATGTACATGTAGTGTGCTCTGTTCTCCAAAAACCTTGCTTTTTGAATACCAAACTGTTCTGCTGCCATTTTGGAAGGCATAGTTCCATGGAAAATCCACTATGATGCAGAGAAGCACAGGTTTATACTTACATGTACAAGGGGCACGTAGTAAACTACAGTGCATGTACATGTACTGTACCAAGGTCAACTTGCTCTTTTGAGTCTGATATAACAGCAGGAATGCAATCAATGATTCTTGACCAAATTCTGAATGAGGGAGCTGTACATCTTATTGCATTCGCTCTTCATAGACACACATGTACATGTAGTTCAAAAGAAGAGCGTAGTGGTTTCATGAACCGGTACATGCGTGCAGACTGATGAGAATAAGAACTTTGTTTAATAATTTTAATCATGATATCTAGCCGCTGAAGTTTCTACAGAACATCCTGAGGTGCAAAATCAAGTCTTTAACTACTACATGTACACATGTGCTTTGATTGAACAATCTCTTAACATAAACAGTACTCCTGTGTTTACTGCTTCCAGTTCAATGTTACTTACTGCAGGCGACCTCCTGTAATACAAAGCTGAATGCATGTACATGTACGTGATTTTGTTTTTCTGTATATTAAGGTACAGTACTGTATTATTTCCATTTCCCTGAGCACAACAAATTACTCAGGTTTAAAGTAACAAGTGAATTGGAAGTCAATGCTTCTGAATAATAAAGAGTATACTCACAGCAACATCATTTCCTTGTTTGGATGATCTTGGCATGGTCAAGCAGGAACAAGTTTTGCAAATGTACTCCAGTTGTTCACTTAAAATGTGTCACCTCAGAGTTATTGCACTCAACTGCAAACACTTCTCCGCAAAAATTTACACTGCTCTGTTCTTCAGTTTTATAAATATATCAACCTTTAAAATCAATCAATGAGGCAAAGTGCTATACTTGGCAGGCCCGTATGAAAAGAACTTGTAGCATGGCAAACAGTGGTGACATGGTGATTGAGCAAGGGATGTCGGCCTCTCCCTCTAGCCGTTTACACAGCAGTATCTTGAAGACGAAGACCAGCGCCAACAGGACGCTGCTCCAGAACAGCCGCACAGCCGCCGCACGCAGGCCTTGGTACAGGTAGAGCCGGATGGCCACAATGGCCATGAAGTAGGCACTGAGGCCGTCACCGGTGAAGAGAGGGGCGAAGACCAGCCACCAGCTACCAGCCCAGGCCCCCTGGAGCTTGAGGGTCAACAGGATGCTGAAGACTAGCAGGGAGACGGTGTGGACCCACAGCTCAAAAACAGTCACCCCAAGCCACTGCACTGTCTCTGTTAGTGTGAACAACATCCTGGAGAAAACAAGACATGATGTTACATATCATGTGACTTACAGAAACCAAGAACATGCAAAATTGCAGATTTACAATGCACATTTGGGTAGCAGAGGTCGCTTCACGATCCGCCATCCCTGGGTACTTTGGCTTGAAACCCTGCCGAATGCATCAGTCTGCATTATTTGTCATACACACGTACATGTATCTGCCAACATTGAAAAATCAGCAATCGGAACACCAAGTTTCCAAGCCTACAGCAAAACGAGCTGGGCCCTATTCTAATTCAGGCGATTTGACAAGGAAAATGTTACAATCAACATGGTCATCCTAACGGTCTGTAGGCGTCAAGCCTCACACAATGTGGGTCAATACGGTGTCACACATCCAGCCAAATACTGACTTTCCTAAAATGGTACCTCTACTCACAAAGGTAATGGCTAAAACGAAGGATTAAAATGAGAGAATACCACAGGGGAACTTTTATGAAAAGTAACGGGAATGATATCGTTTCTTTCATTCAGTTTTCATTCAGTCTCGCGGTATGTCACCGCTACACGGCACAGCACATGTCGCACGTCCCGCCCGATGGGTGTTTCCAGGTCACAGCAGCAGACAGGATGAAAATGGGCGAACCAAGATGGGAAGCAACCGTGGTCATTGGTGGGATTGGCGCATGCACAGTCTGATATAAACACGAATGGTATGAACGGAGCGACAGTCGGTGGGTGGGAGCAAGAAATTGGTGAGCAAAAATCTCAGTTTTTTCCAAAATATTCCTCTCATGCTCTGAAACGTTGTTATCCCTCTTTTCAAGAGGTACATGTAGGCCTATCACTCAGGTTTGCTGACAGGGAAAATTTGATAACTTTCTCAAATTCGATTCCAAAAACCCATAGCTTACGACACCATATAAGCCATGTTGGCCATAAATCACACAGAGTGTGACGGAGTAGTCGAGTTCTCGAAGCTACATGTACTGCTAAGTACTGAATTTCCTAAATCTACTGTAAAACATGAGGGGCCAAAGCTGTGCAGCTCAATTGATAATTCATTGAAAAAAATTGCCAGTTCCTCTATGTTTAAGCGTAAATATAAATAGAAATTATTTAATAAGTATTTATCTAACAATTATGTTATATACAGCAGTGATCTCAAGTAAGTACCCTTTCGAGTTCGAGGGGGGTCATGTGTGTTACGAGCGCTGGCACTCACCCTATCTCGCTCGATGTTTGCTCGTTCTTACACGACAGACACACGACAGACACACGACAGACACACGACAGACATACTAAGAGCCCATGAAGGAAGAAAGACTTCGCAGAAGCCCTGGACTCTACTGTTCACTGACCCGTGAAGGTATTGTCCATCACCCAACTTGGAATGCACACAAGCCCTGCCTGTGTAGAACGTCGGGAGTCTGGCCCACTGATGATGGCTAATAAACACAAAGCAGAAGCAGGGCTTGGTTCATAGATCGCATTCTAAATTTGCGCCGGTACTTTTTCCTCGACGGTGGAATTCAATACGATGTGGTTTTTAATAAAACGTTTTTTAAAAGCAAAAACGATCAAAATGAGCTGCTTCAAGTTGACAAAAGAGCACACAACCATGGCTAATTTCCCCTTCAAGGTACAAGTTTCGGGAAAAAAAAAAAAAAGGATTTCCGAACGATCTACAAAATGCGTCCACACAACGTGAATTTCACATACCACAAACCCTACTTCCACGAGAAATATGATTTGTGTATGGGAAAGGCCTACCTAGTACAGATTTATGTCGTTGCCGAAGATGCAGAAGATATAGAAACTACAGGGGTCTCCGGCAAAAACCAAACATGCATTCTCAAGTAACCGGTTTCTCTAATACATTGTACATATAGGAAGTCCATCAGCGGGTTATTCAACATTTAATCGAGGGGGGGGGGCTATAGAAAGCCTTACGCTAGAATCAAGGGGTTCAAGTGCCCCATGTTCTCCCCCCACACACACAGGCACGCTCTGGAGTCTGTGTAGGTGATAATCCCTTAGTGCATTCATGCACCCCGCTTTACCGACTCCAAAGTACCGAATTCAAAACAGTACCCACTAAAGCTAGGATGATCTGTGAGGTAGTAAACCGCAGTTCACGCTGTAGGACCCAGCAAAGAAGACTTACTCATTGTTGAAGATGACTGATTTTGAATGCCAGATTTTCTCTGAACCAGAATGCCAAAATCAAAGTTAACGAATTCAAAAAGGGAGTCAGGGCAAAGGATTCTCTTCCTGCTGTGAGAATCGCGTCGGACAGTGTCGAAAAATCCACAATCCAACAAAGGAGGAATGACAGAACTCCTAGTCCGTTTTCGTATCATGAACAAGCGCATTGAATACATGTACAAGTATTCTCTAAGAGGACTGAGTGCCTGATAAAAAAGCAACATGAAATTGCTTCTTTTAAAGTTACTTATGTGTTTCTATATCACTTTCCATCAGTTTTAAGTTTCAGTGATTTTATTATTATTAACCATCATCTTATCCTTTTATTACTTTGGAAATTGTCAAACCTAATCCTCTGATTTCGCTAAAACGTCTGTTTTCTGTGTTTAAACACTGAACTTAAATTTTTGGTTCCTTGTTAGATTTGTTTCTTGTAGTCATTCGCCCTTAGAAATAGCTTTCTTGATTCAGCGAATAAGCCTACTGATTTCTTGTGATTGACGGATACGTTTCACCCAAATTCGTTTGGATTCAGCAGATAGGCCTGTTGTTGGCGGCTATAATTGACGGGAACCTTTTTTTCCAGTTTACATTCCCAATTTCTGTTATTTAGTATTAATTTAATTTACTGTTTCTGTCTTCTCTATTACATGTACTTCATAACTCTTGTAACCATCATATGATTTTGTGTATTTTGTTCTTTTTAACCCCGTACTGGAATCTGAAGTTGTACATGTATTTGCTTCGTGTATTGTCTGATTGCTCACCGATCAGCTGTTATCAGATGTCTTTAAAGATTTTAAGTGGCTTTTTTTGGGGGTGGTCGACATTTTATTCGTTGGGCCATTCAATTATAACAGACAGCCTTCAGAATCTCTC